CCCCCTGTTTTTTTTTTTTTTTTTTTTTTTTGTCGGGGCCAGGATTGACAGAACAATGTAACAATTACGTGAAGGACTTTATGACGGTTGCTGACCTTCCGCCGGAAGCGTTGAACGGAAGGAAGTTGCTCATAAATTTGGATGTCATGCCTAATGAGCAACATGCAAGGCGTTATAACCGTCCTATGGGCTTACATCAGGTGAGTGTTCTGATGGTCGATGAACTTCTTCCTCGTGAGTTTGAGATTCGTTTGAGTACTCCTCTTCCGGGTGAGCAGCAGGTTGTTGTAGTTCCTGACTGTTCTCGACCACACGACTGCTTAAGGTTTGTTTTACTTTTCTCGGAAAAAATTGATATTTTGTCCGACTTGCCTCCGGAGCGGGATGACCGCTAGGACTTAGTGCAGAGGAGTATTACGCATTTCACGTTCACGAGCTCGATGGTGAAAGGTCTTGCCTCCTTTATGCAGCACGCCTCTTCCACGAGTTTTGTTGCATGGTGTACGCCAAAGTTGAATCTCTCCACTTAAAATGGATGAGATTCCACAAAAAAGAATTGCACTCGGAGTATTATCAGGATTTACGAGACGTTGTGTAACAAAATCAACGTGGTGAGGGTTTTGGGACAAAAGTGGTTTTACCGTCAACGTTCACTGGCGGGCCCCAATATATGAGTGAAAGATATCACGACAACTTGACAATTGAGAGGTGATTCGGAAAACCGGATATTTTCATCACTATGACGTGCAACACTAACTGGTCGAAGAGCAAACAAACCTCGTTGTCAGGTCAATGTCTTAACGACAGACCGGATCTTCTTGCGGGAGTATTCAAAGGTTATCTTGCACAGCTGATTGATGAGATAAAGAACAAACGGATCTTTGGTAGGGTGAGTGAAATGTTGTATGTGGTGGAGTTTCAAAAAAGGGGTTTACCACACGCACATATATTGGTTATCCTGTATCCGGATGATAAAATTTGGGATGCGGATGTTGTTGACATTGTGGTGTGTGCCGAGATTCCTCCAGAAGGGGAATTAAGAGAAATGGTAGCCAAATTCATATTACAAGATATTTGCGGCGCAAGGAAACGAGGTGCTTCATGTACGGAGGACGCAGAATGCACGAAAGATTTTCCGAAATACTTTATTTCAACAACAACATTTAAAGACGAACAAACGTACCCTTCGTATAGGAGAAGGAAACCAAGTGACAGTGGTTTTACAATTGTTCAAAATGGGGTCGTTTACGACAATCGGCGTGTGGTACCGTATAACCCGTACTTGCTAATGAGGTTTAATTGCCACTTGAATGTTGAATATTTTGCTAACATCAAGGCATGCAAGTACGTGTATAAGTACGTGTATAAGTACGTGTACAAAGGTTGCGATCGTGCTATGGTTTGCGAGCAAGATAATAATGCGTTTATCGACGAGGTCAAATTGTATCAAGATATGCGTGTTGTAGGTGCATGCGAAGCATGCTAACGTCTAGATGAGTTCAACGTTATGGAGCAATGACCCGCAGTCGGAATATTGCCCGTGCATTTTGAAAACATGTAAAAAGTGCAATTTGACACTAAGCATAACATTGTTTCAAATGAGCTCCCGAAAATGAAATTGGCGGCATGGATGAAACACAACTCTTTGAATGAGCGTGTTCCTAAAGAGAAGTTTCCTCTGTACGCAGAAGTCATTAATACTCATGTGTGGGATAACAAATATAAGAAGTGGAACCGAAGAGAGTGTGATCTTCATCGTGGTCCTTCCGAAAACATATCTTTGTTGCATCAGGTGAGGATCACGGAAGGGGAACAATTATATTTACGCATGCTGCTAAACTATAAACTTTCTCATATGGTGCGCTCTTTTGCAAAAATTCATACGGTAGACGGAATGGACTACGATTATTTCCGATCCGTATCTCTTCGATTGAGCTTTTTGTCAATATACGATGCATATCATCAATGCATAAACACAGCCGCTGCGCATTACATGCCAGAAGAAGTTCGTAAAATATTTGTTATGGTTCTCACGTTTCGTTCAGTGAACGATCCGGTCTGTTTCTTCAAATGACATTGGGATAAAATGTGTGACGATTTTCAGTATCGTGCAGGCAATGAAAATGTTTCTCCGAACATTTTGCAATCGTTAGTGTTATTCCATCTTGACCGTATTTTGCAAGAGTCTGGAAAAAACATCCGCCAGTTTTGCCTTTATTATCCGACACCCGACGAGAAAACAATTGCTGAGAACATAACCAGACATTAAGAGAATAAAATAGTATCTTTGATTTTAAACGATGAATTCTAGTATGATCCGATTCAAATGCAACGTAGATCTGACTCTAATTTTCGACGTCTTCGTCCACGTCAATGAGTGTTGGTGGAAAAAGTCGTTCGGGTTGTGGAAGAGAAAAGACCGTTGCATGCTTTTGTCAATGCACCGACTGGAATAGGAAAGATTTTTTGCATTAAAACGATTTAAGCGGCCATCATTTCCCGTTCTGCCATTGCACTGCCGTCTCCGCCAATGACATAGCAGTGACTCTTTTGATGGGGGGTTGAACGTTTCACTCACGATTTCGTGCACCTTTAAAACCTGATAACACACGTCCCTTCTTGATTCCGAAAAAAATTGATCTTGCAGAGCTTATTCGTCATACCGACTTGATTGTTTGGGAAGAGGCTCCGATGAGTAACAAGTTTCACTTGGAAGCTCTTGACATTACGCTTGGAGACCTTTGTAAAAGTTACGAGTCGTTTGGTAAGAAAGTTTTACTTCTTCTAGGGGATTTTAAACAGGTTTTGCCCGTTGTGAAACACGGATCGTGAGCGCAACAAATTGATGCGTTCATTCAAACGTCAATTTTGTGAAAACTTTTTGAGGTTTATGAACTGACAGAAAATAATTGAATCTTAAGCTTAGGGATTGATGAAATGACACGAATGTATGACAAATTTTTGATACGTATTGAGAATGGTGACCATCATCGTGTTGTTCCTAATGAACCTGCTGCAGTCTTTCCACGTGAGATTTGTATGGATAAACCGATTGGTGAGTTGAATTCATGAACGTTTAACGATGTGTCCAACCATGTGGGGGATGACGAGTATTTTTGCTTCGATTAA